TTACCCCCCCCCCACCGCCTACGTTGCTTATTTGATACCCTTTCTGGGGGGGGTGACTACATGTCGTCTTATATATGACCCTACTAGCGAGTATAATCTGATTTGTAGACAGTCTCCGATTTTCGTATTTAACAAGAGTGAAAACGTCCTACTTTTACTTGTTGTCGTTGTCGAACTCTAGATGTTGAAAATGTTCCAGACAATTATTGCCTGATTATCTGCAACACCCAGCGCTTACATCTGACTAGGGCTGCACGTGTACAACCCCGACGGCGAGTCACATACAGTTTAGACTTGAACTAACAACCGTGACATTTCCAATACAATTCACACTATTTCTCTGAGGAAATCCTGGAAATTCGTGTCTATAAGAGCCCTCACGGTACAAACGAAATTGTCAGTGCGAGTTTTGTAAGTCTAAAGACAGCCGCTTCACACTATGCTGTGGTGCCGGGAGGTTGTTAGACAGAAGTTGGCGTTGTACTCGCAGGATTTCTTTTACCTGCCGGTGATGAAAATTGTATGTAGGTGTTTGAAATGTCAATTTTAAACAAGGAATGCATCACGTATTTATTTGATTCAGAACAGTGTGGGGATAATATTCTTGCAATTTTGAGCCGTATGGTATCTCTCATTGTTTTTTTCAACTCAATATTTTTCGCCCACACGTTTCGGGGGCGAGTTAGGTTTGTAGCAGACAAATCTTGTTCTTACGTTTGAATGATATGCACAAATAAAATTATGCATTCTTATGTAGTATTAAGCTTTTTGAAAATATTAAAATTTGATTAAATATAGTATACTGCAAAAAACAATCGAAATTAACATTAAATCAATGATTCTCGATGTATTTTAATAAAAACCGCATAATATTTTCAGGATTTTTTTCAATGTATCAGGCAGGGTACAACAATCTAAACAACTGTATGAATATTAATCTAAAGTAGCGACTTACGTTCGTGGTCTCCCTTTTTAAACTCATTTTTTTATTTTTTGGCTAACAACACTCCTTGCGGACAATTTGTATTTATAACATTAGATATTTATATCATTAGAAAATTTCCAACGATTGACCCGTTTTTTTCTAACCGAAATGAAAACTCTGATTTACGCGCTGAATGGGTTAAACAATTAGTGTTTACTATGTGTGTGAATGTGTTTGACTCTACATGAGCAGCTGACTGTTTATTTCACAATTTCTATTTAGGTAATTCTTTATTTTTTTCAAAACCAGAATTTTCGATAGTCTAATAACTCGTGACCAAATATTTAAAAAAAAACACATTCCTTTGCGTGAGGTGAGTTTGAACAAGACGTTAACATTTCAAACGTATCGGCTCAACCAATCTTTATTTAACGTGGTTCTAAGCATAGGGCTAATTAGCTCCAAATTCACAAACCTTAGTCTTCGGTAGGTTTTTCTCTCTCGAAGAAACTGCAATGAGGCGACCAGTATTCGAAACATACAGACAGTCGAGAAATTTAATATTTTAGAGCTGCCTCTTTCGACATTGGTATTTTCTTTTTTGATCTACCATGTTTGCGCTTTCGGAATTTTCCATATATTGTAAAAAGCGGTGCTTCACTTTCGGATACGGAAACGCAAGGTCATACTCGAAATCCCGTGATCCTTTTCAAAAAGAGTGGTTTGCCAAGTATTGCTTATCGTAATCTGAAGTTGAAGTCGATAGATCCATGTCATGTTTTATTATATTTCTCCAATATCTAAAAATAAATTCATTCTCTAACTTACAATATTATTTGGATTATTTAGAAAATCAAATAAAAAACCTTAACGTGAGTCGCTACCTTGAGGTAACATTAAATAAAACGTAATTTTGGATTTGTTACTCAAGAATTGCGCGGGTGGTTCTTCTGTCAGCTTGTACATACAGTTTTTGACAAAACGAGGAGTACTGGAAAGCAATATGTAAATTAAATAAAATGCATCTACGAACAATTCAATGTAAATTCGCGACAGAGCCTTTTCGGTTCCTTGTGTGTTTAGCTGAACTGTGACTTTTGATAGAATGTGGTTTAAAATTACGTTCATTCTGATTCAAATACATTCTCATGTGTTTTCTGAATGGAAAAGTATTCCTGAGGCGGCGGAATGCAATGTTGCATAAAGGGGCGAGATCTGCTCACCAACCTTGCGCTGAAGGCGTAACCTTACTAGGGGGTCCGGGCATGCTTCTCCTTAAAAAAATGAAATCTAAACCCTCTGAAACGCTATTTCCTTTATTTTGAGGGGTAAATTTTGCTGACACAAAATGTTTCAGCTTGATTGTGGAGGGGCGACGGTTGCGACCGCCCCCTCTGCCTCCGCAACTGTATTCATTCAACAGAATCGGAGATTCAACGACGAATCTTTTAAATATGAATAGATAGCAATTAAACGCGGAAAGCATTTAATTTGTCTTTTCTATTGATAAGGGTAATAAACAACCAAGCCCCAATTTGAATATAGTATATTTCAACCAGAGCTTGCTAAAGAATGTGGTTATAACGGCATACCATGGACACACATTGAAACGGTTTTCGGGTACAGTAAGGGGTATTTGTTCATTCGACCACTGGACTGCCTTTTTTACAACAGGCAGTAAAAATGACAAAAGTAATAGGTCAACAGTCATATGCAAATCATTTGCAAGCCTAGCTGAGGGAGATTAATAGTAGCTTTTGTTCTAACTACAAAACCAAAATATTACGAATGAATGTGCCAGACATATCCAAACATCATCAGAGAGTAGAAAGGTTGGATGCTAATCACTTTTAAGCTGACAGAACAAACACTGGGTCACTGGCTCTGGCTAACTTATTACCTACCTGCAAAAGCACTGTGTTGAAGAGTGAGTGCTTACCTCATTAAGATACTACTGGTGTGATGCCTGTATAGGTGTCTGTGGGTTGTAGTTGTTCTGAGTTCTGAGAATTCTGAACTGTTGTTGTGTGAAGACATTGACATCGTCTCTGTGTTCCCAGGATAGGAGTTAAATCCTGAAAATAAAGTGGTTGCCAAAGTAGTGCCATATGATGCTTGCAGAACCAGAGTCTAATGATGGAACAGTTTTTAGATAGGAAATTGACTCATTTATCAAAGTAGCTATAATGATTAATGGCGTTTTTCTTATTTCACTAAGAAGCTGGAGATCTTGCTTTTGATAGGGATTGACTGTTCACATACTGTAGTTAGGTCCAATGCCAATCCTAATGCACCAGCTCGATCGTGTTGTTGATAAATATAGTATAATATTAGGCAACAATGATGATTCTTACTTGGTTTGTGTGGGTACTAGAGCTCTGTGCGCATGTACAAACCACCTGGTATTAGTCATCCATAATAATCAGTGTTGAGTGCTTTGGTTGATTGACAGGTAGGTCGACAGGATTCAGCATCATGTTAAAATCAGTGTGCTTTGTATCAGAAATCTATTGAAATTGGAATTAATCTAAACCATTGTAAAGAAAGATGTGTACAATGAACAATGTAAAGTGTTGTACTTGTGGTGTGATTGTTTGTTTTGCTAGCACAGAGTCTACCCTGCCTGTTTGAGTTCGAGTAATATCTGTACTGGCATATGTATAGTATCTTTTTCTTCCATAATCCTTTACTGCATAGTAGGGAGAGGATATTTTCGTCTAAATTTCCCTTTGTAAATTATCCTTGTTCTTCCTCTGCATTGCATGTTTATTCTCTCTGCTATGTTATCTACAACTGTAGTAAGGGTAAAAGGCTTCATCTGATATTGGCGCATGTCAAAAAAGAAAAGCGTTCCCCGTGAACGGTCTGCGTTCATATAAGGAACGTCGCAATGTGATTGGTTGAAATATTAATGAGCTTTAAATCAACACGCTTCCTGTGTGGGGCAGAGTAAATCACGGAGTAAATCACGCGAGACAGTGGTTTGTATTTGAATGATAAGCTTATTAGCATGATAATGTTCCTCTCCTCAGTCCTTGGATGCAGAAACTTCTGACACGAATATCGCATCCAAATCAACCGTGTCATAGGTATTTTCAGGCTTGTACTAAAACGGTGATTAGCAGAGGACAGGGTACAGGTTCGCTGATTCTTCTTTACATAGAGAGATAGGATTGCTGGATAGCTTTTCCCGTTCACTATCTACACCAACTGGCAGGGGTTCTATCTAAAAACGATCAAGTGAACGAGTGTTGCGCACGAAAAATCAAGGTTGATCTTTTACCCGTTTTATTCCAAATATTAACTCGTTTGCAGGACAAACCAAATTTAAATCCGGATTTTATAATGTAGTTACATCGATAACACGTAACCACATACCTGAGGTACTAAATGTGAATTAAACCATCAACTTTGGAATATATCATCCAGGCCAGATAGCGCCCTCTTTGGCGAATCGCCCCTTGCAATGAATAAATTTACTAGTGTTGCAACTGTATGTGAAATATATGTATATTCACAAATGACCAGAGAGTATTCGAGTATTTGTTCGAATTTGCTCGCGCAAAAAACGAAAGAATTTTTGCAAAAAATGCAAGTTCGTTGAATTGCATTTAGTCAACAATACCCGAGTAAAGTGACAATATCTTTTAATAGTAACATCTCGTTTTGTGTTTCAAAAGATGAAGGCGATAACATAATATATAAAGTCACATTACATCAGCAAATTGTTACCATTCGCTTATCCAAATTATCACCAATCGAACACTGTTACATTCAAATGATTGCCTGCCTGCCTGTCTGCCAAGTCAAGGCCATTGATCGATCAGTATTCAGCGGATTGAGTACGCGAACAGTAGAACCAGTTACCAACTAGAATGAACAAAATGGGGAACGTGATTACATACTCGGACATAGATGTCACGTGGCACTGGGTATTTGGCAAGATCACCGGGTGCTAGAGTCGCATGGACAACGCTACGAGGCATTCGGGAATCTCCGATTTTCCTTGGCCAAAACGAAAGACTAAAACTCGGGAACTCAAACGTACAAGATTCAAGTAAGAGACAAAACGCACTGTGTCGATACCTTTATATAATTGATATCCTTAACATATTACTTGCTGACAACATTAGTGTAAATAATTCATCGTAAAAAGTAGTAGTTTTTGCTTGATTAGAAACTCAATAACATGACCCAATAATTAAAATAATCATTTCTGAATAACATTGAGAAAAATCGAGGCGAGTGTACAGCGCTGACTTTAATGTCTCAGCTGTCTCTGATCAAATAATAATTTGAATCCAAAGAATATTTTGTTTATAATTCATTACATCGTCGTTTTCGTTGACCTGGAAATGCAATGCACCATGGGTAAAACGATTAATAAATAATATACGTCTGTGGACATAGCAACTATGACGTAATGCTTCAATAAAATGACTTTTTGCATAATTCAGCATTTGTAAGGTCACACGCATGACTCGCATCGATTTAAATTGTCTCCGGTAAAAACACAGTGAACCATCAAAAGGCACTTATATAGTTCATCTTGCGCCCGAAATTATCCCGCCGAGTGTTCCTTTCCCATTTAGGGTCAGTCGTTCATTGCAATGCCTGCATTCACGTTGTACGTCTATGTATACAAATGTATGTATCCTAATCTCGCACTCTTGCATACTATTATTTCTACATTTGCATAAAAAGCAAATATCAACCCAAACTAAGGTTCGCGTCTCAAACTGCCAACGAAAAGGATAATAAAACTTATACATATAATGTAGATTGTCGGATTTATGCGACAATTTTAGTCGGTCAGATTTTTTTTTATCTCTGGCTACCAGATAACATTTAGTGATGGTACAAATGGTAAACATTCTGTAAAAATGTCTAAAAATGTTCGTAAGTAAATAGGCACTATGTACATGTTATCATATCCGAATAGCCTGCATCCGGAAAACACTAAATTTCCTGTTTTGCTTGGCTCTGCACAATGCAAAACTGTATTTTACTATGGTCCAGCGCTGGTATCGCATATCAAACCAATTGTAAGATCAACCTCAAGTACGAGTTTAGTTCAACTGTTAATACTTCCACGACAATTATAAAAATCCGCGTCCTTGCTCACATGACGACGCACTTGCCCTTTAATTTCTCTCTCCTCTTCTGTGACTTCGATTTTTTGCTCTCCAACTGTAAACTCATTGTCCTTCGCTTTTCCAGCTGTAACAACTCTTGGAACAGTTCTTTGACATTGTAATTGGTCTTGGCCGACGTCTCCAGAAATGCACAACCCCACCGCTTAGCTACTTCCGCGCCGTCTCTCGTTGACACCTCCCGACACGACTCGTCGCATTTATTACCAACCAGCATTATCGGAATGCCATCAATGTCTCCTTTAATCTCACAGATAACGTCGAAAATTGGTTTCAGCTCTTCCAGCGACTGCCTACTCGTGATTGAGTATACCAGAATGAATGCGTGCCCTTTAGAAATCGACAGTCTCTGCATGGCAGGGAATTGATGAGACCCCGTAGTATCAGTGATTTGCAACGTGCATACGTTTTTGTTACAGCTGATCACTTGTCGGTAGGTATCCTCGATAGTTGGGATGTAGCTTTCCCGGAACGTTCCACGTACGAATCGTAAAACCAGGGAGCTCTTGCCTACGCCTCCCGCTCCGAAGACCACAACCCGGTAGTCGTTACTCTGCTCCGGCATGACTCGAAGTCTGATGCTACGGTCTTTGGGCAGCTGCGAGGAGAAAGAAAAAAGAGACGTTTGGTTAGGTACTAGTACTAGTACAATGTCAAAACACATACAGTTTGACAGTCCAACAGTCTGATGTCACGTGACAGTGTGACGATTTATGAAACCATACTATGATATGCTGATTATGTCACGTGAGTCAAATCAGCCAATTATATTATTCAATAACAACATATTTCGTTCTTCCAATTCCATTTTATTCTTCCTAATAATGGAGATATGGGTGTAAACTCGCACTGTGCAAGGCTGTGTGTTTTAGCGAAAGCCTGCTGTAAGCTAACCGAGAACTTATTTCACGTCGTTGCTCCGCGTAGTATGCGAAAGCCGGCGAAGTCGGAAACCGCGCTGTTCAAAGATGATGTAATACATATTTATCTTGAATACAGCATGGAGAATTGAATGTTTAATTACGTTTAACGCCACTGCTTCTCTGACTTTCCAATATTACCACGAAAGATATGTAATCCGATCTTCCGGATCAGTCTAATTGGTATTTTGAAAATGTAAGTAATTGCAGGCACTAGGCTTAGTTTCATGCTTTCAGAATAATAGACCAATTATTAGGTACCGATATTCGACGACCATCATCGTTTGTTTCTTGGAAATATATTACTGGTTTTCACTGAATTGTATCTCTGATTTGTTCAAAAAAACAAGGCAGTTTTAAAAGGAAATGGTGTATTGGCGTGTGTTAGTCATTTTCAATCCCAGGTCTTCAACTTGGATTGAATAGTGACAACGTCCCTTATGACAAAAGATTATTTATACACACGAAACGTACGTAAGGATATAGCAAGTACGTACGTCAAATAAGTAGTTGGGGTTAGCTCGTGTGGTAACAACGTTAACGCCGACACAACGCGCAGCAAGCAAGTAATGGGTATAGCGTCCCTCCGGGAATAAATACAGCACAAAGGGAAGACCACCATAAAAGAAACGCGCGTCACGACTCGAGAATTATTATTTCAAAGAATTAAACATGAAAACAGGTAAGATTTAGTGTGTATACTGCGTTGAAGCAGCTAGTTTGTTTGACCTTATACACTCATCCATTCAGCTTCGTTAGCCATTGCCGTCATTCGTCACCTTACTATTAAAATCAATATTACTCATTTATGCCAGAGACGCGTTGGAGCGAGCAAATAATGAAGTGATTGTCGTCATTTGCACCTTGAATCGCATGACTAGGCGCATGTCTTTAAACTGTTTGCTTTTATGAAAAATGATGTAGACATACAAATATGTATATTTCAATGATAAAGTGAATTACGTCAGAGTCGGCAAGGTTGAATTTCCCCTAGTGACGCCAGAAAAAGTACCAAATAGCTGACAGCGTTTTAATACATTATATTGTTGATGTAGTTGATGTGCACATATAACAGGACAACTGTTATTCGTCAACGTTGCAATATCTATATCTATGATGTACGAATAGTCTGGCTTATTTTAATGGCCAAAAAAAAAACAGAACATATTTCGCTTATCGTAATGATAAGGGGAAATTTAATATTGAACATTCCATTTAAGTATTAAAAAAGCAAAGATTACTTTGGCGATTTTTTTTTTTGTAGAAGGCTTGAAATTTTACAAATATAGCGAGGTTGGGATTATAAGTCAGACTATTCTGTTTTTTGAATATTGAGGCGTTTTGAATTGATCGGCATTAAGGATTTGACGTAGCAATTAGCCCGTGTTTACGACCGTCAAATCCATTCATTGAGACGGTATACGTCACTACAGCATTTCGAAGTGTTTACGCCCGTTAATAATACGCTATGAATTGGTTTGTGTGTTTTATAAGGAGGGTGGGGATGGAAACCCAATTATGAAAACGCCGTGTCATCGGGAAATATTACGACCCGCTATATCAATATAACAAATAACGGTAGCTTAGATTACACCGACATCAAAGTATACAGAAATACGAACAGTAAAAATTGAATGTTCCTAAATAAATCAAAAATGTCCACAAGGAATGAAGAAAAGATCCAATAAAGATTAAAACTGGGGATTAATGAAGCTTGTGGGTGAAAGCGCGAGTCCCGATATACTTGGTAAATGGAATGAAATATATAACACGGCATAATCGCGGCGCAATTTCACGGAATATTGAGAGGGAATACAGCGGTAAAATATAAATAGGCGTTGATTATTCAACACTTACTGTATTAGAAGCTTTCGTGATCGTCATCTGCTGTGTGTTTGTCCGTACGTGTATGTAACGACGACGTGGAACTGTTAACGGATGAAGACAGTTGTGAAACCAACACGGTCGCTCGTGCGAAATGAAACGAACCAAACAGCACAGTCAGTGTATATTGAAGACTGTGCGAGAAAACAGTTCTAGTGACGTCACGACCGCCTTCAATTGGCGGACTGTTCCATTCATAGTGATTCATTACGAATGGGGCGAGTCGGGTATGTGGTTGTGAATACTGTAATACAGTATTGTATGATCAGCAGAAACATCGATACGAGAGTCGTAGTAGAAATCAACAGTATTTGTATACCGCCGATACAAAATTATGCTAAAGGCAATCTCGGGGCTCGACATGGTAACTGTCTACCCACGTCAGAATGAGGCAATTATCTGAAATTCGAGCTCCATTTGATTGTCTGCTGTAGTTTCTCATGAAACACGTTAAGCGTGTGCGGCTAGTCACGACCCAATGACAGGCTGCCACAAGACACGTTAGTCTGCGTGCGACACACGTGCACTAATGTGATAAACTGATGTACAGTCTAATGATTAACTACGTTATGATGCAGTATCTGGGAATATGTAAAGAAGGTACCTACCGATGGACTAAAATTGCCGACAAAATAAATATAAATGAAGCGATATCGCGACGTTTTGTAATTGTTGCATGAAGCCACGAAATCGGTAATGCCCGAACTATGGTTCATTGCGCGTACCGTGTGTGGCGTACGCAGTTACTCGCCATGCTGCCTATCGCGGTCGTTTCTCATTACTCAGATTTCTGGAGAAAACGGGACAAACTAATATAGTTGTTTATACGTTTACTGGATCATGGCATGGTTTAAATTCCTTACAAATATCATGTAAATGTATTTTGTGTAGGCACAACAAGTATGGTATTCTATTTCTAACCAGTCTATTGATAATTAAAGTTCAAACGCGCATGTTAAAATTAGTAGCCGTAAATCAAACAACCTTTTGCGCGAATGTTCAAACTGTTATTGAATCCCTTCTGTCTGACTAAGGGATCTAATATTTTACAGCTGGTGTGCCAGATATTTTCACTTGTAATACGTCATTTTTACCGAGAGGTTTGTTGTTCACGCCGTTTATTGATCGATTGGTGTAATTTCTTCTGCTATTCACGGTCTTCAGTTCACGTTTGTTTCCTGATATCCTCCCACATCCCAGACGAGTAGTATAAATAATGGTCAACTCTCGTATATATATGACATAGAAGTCGAATATAATAGGGGATTTTCCGTACAATTGCGAGATCTCGCGAGATGTATGAAAAACGCGCGTCGAACGTCTGCCGCAAAAATCGAACGATTTGATTTTGAACTAGAATTTCTTTATTTCGTAACTCACACCGACCAGTCGACAGGGGAATATTGCTTCCGAATACCCTCACTTAATCGAAATTGCCTATCATGAAATGTGGACAACACATTATTAAGCATGGAAATGTCCCCCAAAGTACTTCGCGTTTGTCGAATCCCACGCGATGTTTGACGCGACTACGACGCTATGAACTTTGTTTGTCCGGTTTTTACGTTCGATTTCACGCATAACGCGTGATTCTCGCAGTGAACGGAAAATGGCCTATTGTTAAGGGAGTGTCGGAGTAACAGCACAGCCGTGAACGTGCTGTAATTGTTTGATGATATCATCCATTTACGGCCCAAATGACTGATAATCGGAGTTCAAAGCCAATAATGGACAAATATTTACAGAAATGTTAGGTCCAAATATTCCAATATAATCAACC